AATGATTAGGCTTCAACATTGAAAAGGTGGGTTGTGTACATTGTGACATGGAGAAAAGAGCCCCTGGAGGAACTGGCTGTTCTCAGTGTGCACCTGGTGAGTGTGGGTATTATTATGAATATTATGATAACTGTCTCTGTCCTTCCTTCTATGCTGAATGATCATTCCTTTGGAATGCATAAATAAAATCTGAAAAGACAGAATGAATTCAATCAAATCAAACTTACGTGCATATGCTGATATACCGTGACCCTGAAATTACAGCTGGCTTCAAATGGGAACATCTTTAATTGGAGGAGAATTTTAGTTTTAACTGACAACCAAAGTCATGAGCTACAACCTGAAAGCTGGCTACTTGTGGTTCCAGATGAACTCAATTTCAGATTTAATACTTACAGAGTTTTGAAAAGAACATTGCCACCTCTTTTCCTGTGAGAAGTTAATCGAGACATCATGGGCCAATATTCTTCTAAGGACATTGAGATCTGTGTGGAAGATTGTCTAGCCTAAAATTAAGATATAAATTTTTGTATGGAGAAGCTTGAGCCTTCAATCAATGAATTTGAGTTACAATCTACCCTTATAAACAAAATGAGCTTGCCAGTCAAGTTTCCAGTGTAAATTCATTTATTGTGTATTTCAGCAAATCATTACTCAGAGAAATTATGTCATGAAACTGAATGGTTCATTAGGTTAAGCAAACAAGTCAACTTCCTGCTATGCATTAAAAATGTAAAGCAATAGATGAATGAGTCAAGAGCTTTCAACAGCCCCATCATTTCAAAGACTGGCAGCACAAGCAGGCAGAGGGATTCAAAACTGAACAGCTATTTGTAATTATTGTCAAATGAGAAATTTGAAAACACTCTTACTCATTTTATACAAATGTCACAGAAGTTTAATCAGGGGGCTGCAGCTCTGAGATTTCCCTACATGGAAAGCCACTGTTTAAGAGAAATATGAAGGAATATAAATGTAATAAAAAGCACATAAATTGAAATATTATATACTGTAAGTCTTCCATGAATCTTTTTTAACAGGTGCTGGATTTTCATTAGATGATCTGGTTGTAGTTTCTTCCTTATTTGTCCATCCCTTTTTAGCTGGGCTTGAGTGAGGAGTATTAGATACACAGTCATAATTTCTAGAATCAAATCATCATGTAAACTGGTGATGTCATGATAGAATTACTTGAAATAGTACTCAATATGTATTTTCTACAACTCTACAAAGTAAAATAAGAAAAGTATTTCATTTTGTTGGAAAAGGCCTGTATATTATATTTATTTTCTATTAAAGAAGATGTAGTCCCATTTGAGACCATGACAGAATATTAATTTAAAGATTTTACATGCAAAAAATGGTTATTTGTTCATTTTAACAAAATAAACATTAAATTATTATCTTGAAGGACCAATTTAATTGTCTACATTATTTGTTATGATTAGCACATGTGAAAATTAGATACTTTAAATATATCCTTACCCTAAGACAACATCCATATTACTATAATATCTCCACATTAGCAGTTAATTAAAGTTTCATGCACAGTGTCTATCATTTTAATTGTCTAACAGTTTTGGAAATGTTGGCACACAATAAGTACCTGAAACGTATCTTAGTATCATTGGGTCAGTCAAAGCATGTGCTATAAGAAGTAGGTTACTGTGTCAAATACAAAGTCATGCTTTACAAGACTAAATTTCAAAATTTAAAATATCAAACAAAGGAAGAAATGCCTCAAATATTCACTGACGGCAACTTGAAGAAATCTGAAACATTTTACCAATTGAATATAATGTACAAATATTTGAAGTGGTACTCTTGCAAAAGCAGAAATTTATTTTGGGAAGAGTCCAAGTATAAATATAACAGTGGAGAAATTCCCTTAGCACTTTCCTTTATAGGTGGAGTGATGCATTTTGACAAATCTATCCATGTAATTTGTTTTAAAAAATTATGTAGGAACAGATTATTTACAGATACTGAGTGACTATTTAATTCAGATAATACTTTGATGGGCTTTGTTTGTGGAAATGTAAACTTACAACATCTATGGTTTGAAAAATTACCAAGGTATTTCACTCTTCAAGAGAAAAGCAAATATGCTTTTTTAATCAGGTATATTGTAATTGTTTATATGACATACAATCATTATTTATCACTGCAGAATGCTAAATATTTTTATTAGTGAATTATGTGCAAACATTAATGACAACTCTTATAAATGTAGACATTTAGGCTTTATTCCTCATTATATTTTGCATAAACTGCTTGTGGTTACTGTACACTAGTTTCTTATTTGAGGAAAGGCATAGTAACTTCACAGAAAATTTGGAAATTTCAGTCCTAAATCAAAGAGAGTGAGGTCATAGATTTTACGTGAAGAGAGGCATGAGCACAACAATGCTAATGGAAATAGGTTTCAGAGAAACAGACTTGAACTATAGTAGAAAGCGCTATAATTAAAGTTTAAGGAAAGATTCCCAGCATTTATAATCTTTGATATAAAATAACTGAAACAGTAACAGAGATTTCTTGCAATTCCATAAATATCTATGTACCTACATACAAATCTTCAGATCGTCCAGTTCAGAATTTTTAAACAGGAAGCGTATATTTCAAGTCCGAAAGTCATAGCCTATAATCTGCTAAATACTTCTCAAAGGTTAAGTATTTTTCATGATTTTAGTTATCTTAGGACAGAAAATCATTAAATATTTGTCTTCACTGTAAGATTAGAAATTAGGCTTCACAGTGTGGTCTTTCATCTAACCAATATATGACATATTAGAATTAATCTAATAGCTCTTCAACAGATAAATACTGGTTTTTATACAAAGTACTAAAACAAATTATTAGATTTGGAGAAAAGCACAGCAAACACTGCATGTACTAACTCAATTCATTTGTCTGGGCCGGTTGTAAGTCTACTCGGTCAATTGACTTCAGAGTCTCTCTCTTGTAGAATTTTAGTCAACATTTTCTTCCAGTGTCTCAGTGTCCTTACAGAGACATTGGCCCAGGATTTCTCAATTAACCTCCTACAGGAAAGGATGTGATAATGTTCCTCCCAGGACTCTTTAAAAGTTAAATCTGTATGTGAGATTATCTGGAAGCCCAAGCAGCCAGAAATTGGGTCGAAACTGAAGACTTTGGTCTTAAATTAAAACTAAGATTCTGGTCCTAAGTTGTTCGTATGTCAGCCTGGTCCTAACTCAAGGTTCTGATGTAAAATATGGGGCTCTATTTCCATGGTCTATGTCTCTCCTCCAGTAATCATCACTCACTTGATCAAGTTCTCTTTCGTTTACCTGTCTATATACCAATTCTTACTTATCACGGAATCATTAAAGTTTATTACAGTGTTTTTCATCAGACATTTAACTATATAGTGTTGCTCTCTTGTAATAGAATTAAACTTTCATGAGATTCAGATATGTTTGTTTCCTTCACTACTCTCAAAAATACTGTAATAGCAGGAGGTAAATATTTGTTATAATAAAAAATTCATGGGATTAATTTGAAGAACTCAAGGACCACAACAGTATAAATTTGTATTCATTTTTAGAGAACAGCAAGGGCAATTATCTTGGGTGAAGAAAGTCACAATTTAAAAGGGTGAGTGGAAATACAGGTCTGGGATATTCTGCCTCCCTAACTTATTCTTCACAGGCTGCTTTGGGGACTCTGTCATTGGTAAACTTCTCGCTTAAAAATATTACAGACAATTGAATGTTCTTGGTGAAGCAATAAATGAGAGTTCCATATAGCAAAACAAATTAGATCAAAAGCATAAAAATATAAAGGAACAATATTTTAATTTTCTCAGGAAAAGCAAAATGAGAGGACCTTCTATTGAAAAGAAAGCTACTCAGTTGGAAGAAGGCAGCAGATGCCTGAGAACCACAGGGAGTGGGGGATGGCGGGTTAGGAGGAAGCTCTGAGAGGAGACTGCTCGGGAGCACGGAGGGAGGCAGTGCTGACTCAGGACTTGGAGAGACCTGGGGTCCTAAATTAATTTTGCTTAAACAGTGTGTGACAGTAGCACATGCTCTAAAACTGGAGGAAAACAGCAAGTGTGGTAGCAACACTCCTGACAGTGACAACCAGGGACATATCGGGAATATTTGTGCTATTCTGAGTAATTCCTCTAGTTTTCCTGGCATCCCACCTAGTACTCTCCTGATTTTGAGAGACAAAAAGAGACAGAGAAAGACAGAGACAGAGAGAAGGAAGCAGAGATAAAGAAATGGTGCACCTAATTCAAAATTAGCAGAAACAGAACACTCTCTGCTATTTTTTATGACACAAGAATGATACCTCAGTGGTAGATCAGGTAATTAGCATATGAAGTTTGTGGATCCTGGGTTGGATCATAAGAAAGAAGACATAAAGCAGGAGGAAAATAAAGAAAAAATAAAGAGTAAGAGAGATACAAAGGGGGAAAAAGAGAAAGCAATCTTATTTCACACTAAAAGGTAAACATAAATATTAAATATTATAAGCTATACCCTCAACATTGCAAATTATGGAACATTTATTTTTACTGAAATTGTATTGAAATTTTATTTCTAAGAAATTAGAGCATAATTTCATAATCTATAAAATGATATATTTTTATCCACTGTGAACATTTTAGAATCTTTGCACATGAGACAGTAAAAATCAACTAGAAGAATGTTTTGATGATACTGCCGCTTACTTAATATTACGATATGTTATTGTCACATACATGAAAGAACTTCACTAACTTTTGGAAGACCACGGTTGGCATTAATTTTAATGGAGGAGGAAATTATAACCAGAGCAACTATGATAATGAACTTCTCAGGTTGAAGCAGAATATCGTTCAGACTAACACAGAATCACGCTAATATGTTAGGAGAGTGAGTCACCGAACATCCCTGTGACCCCATGGTGCAGAGTTTACTAGTTATGAAGGAATTTTACACACTGTGATTCTACCTGGGTTCAACACTTCTGTCTTCTCTTCTCAGACATGAACCACATCCCCCACAGATGTCCAACTCCTCCACGACAACGGACTTCCTCCTCATGGAGATCTCTGACATGCGGGATCTACAGCTTTTCTATGCCATGATCTTCTCTCTGATTTATCTGGTGACCGTAATGGGAAACCTGGTCATTGCAGCTGTCACCACTCTTGACAAGAGCCTTCACACGCCCATGTACTTCTTCCTGAGGAACCTGTCCATCCTGGACTCCTGCTACATTTCTGTCACCATCCCTAAATCCTGCATGAACTCCCTGCTGGGCACAAGCTTCATTTCAAGGGCAGGATGTGCAGCTCAGGTCTTCCTTGTGTTATTCTTTGCATTTGTAGAGGTACTGTTCCTCACCATGATGGCTCACGACCGCTTTGCAGCCATCTGCAGGCCCCTCCATTACCCTGTGATCATGAGCCCTCGCCTGTGTGTCCACAGCACACTGGCCGCTCTGCTCAGTGGCCTCCTCTATGCAGCCCTGCACACCCTCAACACCTTCCGACTGCCCTTCTGCCACTCCCACGCTGTCCAGCAGCTCTTCTGCGACATTCCCTCTCTGCTGAAGCTGTCTTGCTCTGACACCTTCAGCAACCAGCTCATGATTCAAATCTCTGGTCTAGTGTTTGGTAGTGCCTGTTTCATTTATATCATCAAGTCTTATATTCACATCTTCTCTACCGTGCTCAGGGTTCCAGTGGGAGCAGACAGGAAGAAGGCCTTTTCCACCTGTGTCCCCCACATTCTTGTGGTGTCTGTCTTCCTCAGCTCATCCTTTTATGTCTACCTGAGACCCACTGAAATGTCTACTGGGGTCAAGGGGATGGTGCTCTCTGTGTTCTACTCTGTGATTCCCCCCTTTTTGAACCCCATCATCTACAGTCTCAGAAATGAACAGATAAAGTCTCCCATCAGGAAACTCGTGGCAAGAGTGTTCCACCCAGGTAATATATTGAGAATGAAGAAGGCTTTTCTATTCCAGCTTAGTCATAGTCATGTGTTTGTGAATAAGTGAAGATAAGTGATTCAAGTTCTTCCTTAACATTTGTGTGAATTCAACATTTAGATCTTTTAAATGTGTCATATAACAGTGTCAATCCTTTCTAAATAGTTCAAATTTAATTAGACAAGGAATATGTAAAGATCTGTTTGATGCAAAAGAATTTCAAATTTACTCCCATTTCAAAATTTCCCCCAAAGTCTCCTGTGCTTAGAAATGTCATTCTCAGAATGTGAGAAGGTCAAAGGGATACCACACTAGCCAGCATTTAAAAATGTCTAGAAAAAGTCGAATATGAAACATGTCCTCACAGTGTATGTGAATAAAGCCACCTCCGAATGAAACAGAGACTGAGAGAAAAAGAAAAGTGATGACCTGCAACACAACAAAAAATGTAAGCTGCACGTGATGCCCTAATAGGAGAAAATATAGTGGAAGTGGTAGGGAAAAATTCAGCCCTCTATTCTGACTTATTACTCCTTTTAATTGGCAGAATTGTGTACATTCACTGTGTACAAGATATTGCATTGAAATGTGCATGAATTTTGAGGAAGATATTGTGGAAAATTGGAAGTGGATTGGACGTGGAATAATAAACTCAAGTAAAGAAACAGACATGTTAATAGATGTGCAAGTGGGTGGCTAGGGGAGTGGAATAAAAATGGATGGGATGTGTGAAGTACCTGCCCCTTCTCCCTGGACACACTTCCTATACTCGGAACATGTACTAATAATTTAAACGCAAAGAGTATACAGTGAGCTTGCCTGAGCTCATCACTCAAGGTTACTAATCGATATTCTTGTTTTTTTCCTTTCTGGTACCAGGGATCAAACTCGGGTCCTCCTGCTTGCAAGGCAGGTGGCGGAACCAATGAGCTAAATCCCTGGTCCTCATTATCCTACTTTTAGTAGTTTTCATCTACATAATTTCTTCCTCTACCTCTTGTTCAGTTTTGTGTATATTCCATATTGTATTTTAACAATTTATTTATGTCTATGTTTTTGTTTGAGATTATATGGATAATTACATTTTTATCATTTTAAATTTTGTTAAAATGGTGTGAATTTTTGTTCTCTCATTTTAAAATCTAACATAAATTACATTTTTGAAATTAGAATAGAAATAATTTTGCTGTGTTTCAAGTTAATGATATGGCAACACTCTGGGTACATATGACTGCATATGTTTAAATTTAAAAGAACTGAAATGAACTGTAATTAACACTCATATTCTCTTCCATTCTGGGCTCACTGATGGGCTGACAGACCTCATAGAGCTACTTGAGTTATGGTTTAGGTTGGAGTGAGTGGGATAAATCCTTCCATATTTCCTACTTTTTTCTGAGGCTTAAAATTATCACATCATTTCTTATTATCTGGTAAATGATCAGTAACATGTTTTAGCTTTTGGGTCATTATGTATGAGAGACCTTAATTCATTTAAAAAGTTCTTATTCATTGATGTTCAAATGTGATTATCTTAGTCCACCATGAACTTCTGAGTTGTACTCCCACTTCTGCCAAGTCCAAAGTCATCTCAGAGACCCTCCTGCTGTCTATCTGGGAAAATGCCTTGCTGGAGAAGCATCTGGTATACCACCTGCCCCCATCTGGCTTCAGATACTTGTCCAAGAGCCAGCACAGTGACAAATGGTACCCTTGATAAATGCAAATGAGAGCTTTTGGCTTTAGGTGCATTGCTGAACTTGATCAATAAAAATGGCTCAGGGTTCTACATATATAATAAAGGACACATATGATCATATAATAATACATTTTTACCCCTTGTCCCTGCCCTCCCTTCACCCCCTCCTCCCCTCCCCAACTGATGATGGGCAACTGATGTACCAATAAACTCAATTAAAGCTGAAAAAAATACATTTTTAATTACATTTGGGGTCCTTTTTTGAAAAAATCCAACTGAAGCAATTCTAACCAGAAAATCTCTGTCATATGGCAGAAAAAAATTATCCCTGTGCTGTACAAATTAAAATTCATGTGAGTGACACATAGAACATGTAAATATCATTTTAATGTGCATTTCTAAAAGCATGGAATTTATTTTGATTTTCACAAATCAAATTCAGCAATTTGAAAAACCCCAACTAGGTTTACAAATGCATACTTAGGCAAGCATGTACCTTAGTGCATCATTTCTGTATAACCAAAGATTCTAGATAAAAATCTTGAGAGATTACTTAATTACCCAGTTTGCAGCAAAATTAGTTTTGTTGAATATTAATGCAAAGTTCATTCAAGCTTGAACAGTCTCAACAGCAAGTACATTTCTCAAGTGCCTGCCAATGAGGGGTTCCATCCTTTCTTACTGTGAGAGCGGAAAGTCATGGATCTACCAGATACTGTAAGAAGAAAGTGAACACCAATGTTTTCAGATGTACATTAATTCGAAGGTCCAGAAATGTGCACCTACTAGGCCAAATCCCTTTGCCAAGGAGCAACAGTGTTCTCTGGATCTCCTGATGAGTCTCTAAGGGCTCTGCTGATGTTTAAAATTATTTCCCTGAACTACATACTTGGAGTGATGTTACCATTATTACACAATCACAAGAACCTGACCCTGGAGACTGTAGTTGGACCATGAAGATCCTATTGAAATCTTTAAAAGAAGAAACACTGATAAGGTTTTATCATTGAAAATTTGGCTCATGCACATTTGGGTATTTTACACAGAGAAAAGAGCTGCTGGAGCAGCTGGCTATTCCCGGTGTGGACCTGGTGAGCGTGGGTATCATTGTGAGTATTGTGATAACTGTCTCTGTCCTCTTTCACGCTGAATGCTCATTCCTCTGGAATTCATTAATACCTTATTTGAAAAGACAGAATGAAATGAATCAAACACAAAATTTTGTGCATATGCAAATATACAGTGACCCTGGGGTTCCAACTGGCTTGACATAGGGGCAGCTTGCATTATGAGTGGAAATTTTATTTTAACTTAGGACCAAATTTTTCAGTCACAACCTAAATGCTGCTACTCGTTCCAGATGGTCGCAGATGCAGACTTCACACTTAGAGTGTTCTGAAAGGACTATCACCACATCCGTTCCTGTGAGAAATTAATTGAGAAGTACTGGGCCAATGTTCCTCTAAAATCTGCCTGGAAGAAATTGTTACTTAAATTACACGGGAGACAAACTTTGAAGGCTGTGTACAGGATCCTGAGCCTTCAGTTGACCAACTTGAGTTGCAATCTGCCTTCAGGAACAAACTGAGTTTGTAAGTCAAGTTTTCACTGTAAATTCATTTATTGCATATTGTAGGAAATCATCACTCAGGTAAATGGTTTCATGAAACTGATTGCTTTATTGAATGTAAGGAAACATCAAATTCTCACCACGAGTTAAAAATGTAAAGCAATGAATGTATGTTTCAAGAGACAACAATAACTCTATCATTTCAAAGACTGGCAAAGGCAGGCAAAGTGATTCAAAACTGAACAGCTCTTTGTCAACTGAGAAATTTGAGATCCAGAACACTTTTACTCATTCTATATAAATATCACAGAAGTTTATTCAGGAGGCTACATCTATGTGCTTCCCTGAGAAAGAAAATTACTATTTAAGAGAAAAATGAAGGAATACAAATGTAATAAAAAGCACATGAACTGGAATGACTTATCCTTTAAATCTCCTAACAATCTTTTTAATAGATGCTGCATTTTACTATCTGGTTGCAGTTTGTTCCTCATTAATCAATTTATTTTTAGATGGATCTGAACTGAGGAGTGTTTGATACTTAATTGTAATTTCCTAAATAACTAAGAATCAAATCATTATGTAGGGCTGGGGATTTAGCTCAGTGGTGCTACCACCTGACTTGCAAGTGCAAGGTCCAAAGTCCAATCACAGGTACCAAAAAATAAAAAAAAAGAAAAGGGAAAAAATCATTATGTAAACTGATGATGCCATGAGTGATTTTTTTGAAACTTTATTTAATGAATTTTCTCTTAAAACTCTACACAGTAAAATAAAGAAAACATTTATTTTTGTTGTTGTTGTTGCAGGCCTCTATACTATGTTTATTTTCTATTAAACAAGATGTCTTATTTAAGACCATGGCAGAATATTAATTTAATAATTTACATAATAAAAATGGTTATTAATTCATTTCAACAAACGAGATTAAGCTATTATCTAGAGGGACCAACTTAATTAACTACATTATTTAAGTTATAATCAGCATTGCCGAGGATTTAGCTCGGTGGCTCTGCCTCCTGCCTTACAAACACAAGGTCCCGAGTTTGATCCCTGGTAACAAAAAAAAAGAGTTGTAATCAGCATGTGTGAGGATTAGGTATTTTAAACATAGCCTTACCATTTCAAAGACAATACCCATAGTATTGCTCATAATATCAGCACATTATCAATTAATTAAAGTTTCATGCATGATTTCTATCATTTTAATTCTCTAAACGTTTTGGAAATGTTTGCACACAATAAATATTTGAAACATATCTTAGTATCACTGGGTCAATCCACACCCTGCAGCATAAGATTTCACAGTAGTAAGCAGGTTTGACAAAAGGAAAAGGAAACATTTAAAATCCCAAACCATGTTCTCTAGGAAGTAGGTTATTGTATTGCATAAGAAGTGGTGCTTTCCCAAGAGCAAATTTCAAAAATTAAAAATGGAAGAAAGAAAGAAATGTCTCAAGTATCCACTGACAGCAACTTGAAGAAATCTGAAGCTCTTTACCAGTTCAATATTTGCACAAGGATTAGAGGTGATTCTCCTGCGGAAAGCATCAGTTTATTTTGGGAAGTGTTCAAATCGAGATATAACAGAGGAGAAAGGCAGTTAGCACTTTTCTTTACAGCTGGAGTTATGCATGTTGACAAAATCACCATGAAATTTGTTTAAATAAATTGTATACAAGTAGATTATTATTGATTCTGAGTGACTATTTTATTGAGAAATGATGAGCACTGCTTGTGGAAATACAAACTTTCCTCATCTATATTTTGTCAATTTACCAAAGTATTTTACTCTTTAAG